CTGATTTGACCAAAGAAGTATTACAAAATAGTTTAGAAACTGTCAAATCCTCTCAGTCTAGATCAGAATTATGTAGCTTAGACAAACTTTGTCCATTATGCATACTTGCTGTTGCTAAACACTGGCAAAAGGAAGTTGGCAGTGAAGCTAGGCTAATTTCTGTGTAATTTTGCCCACACTGAAGGAAGTGTAAGCACTTAAATTGAGAGTAAAATCTTTCATGTAGGTGTTCATTCATATCTTCTGTCTCCTCCTGTCTTAGAAATCAATGGTTCTTTTGAGCATAAAATCCATGTGATAGTTTTACTGAACTTTTGCAGTACTTGTTTTCACTTGTGGAAAGTTTTGCTTTAGGGAAGCCCAGCTGCCTGTTTAAAATTCTTCTGGGATTAAGCAGTTAAATTCCTTTCTCTAGCCTCAGTGTGCAGCAATTTATTAATTGAGTAAAATTTCTAAACAACCAAAATTAAGCTCATTAGTAAACTAAAAGCACATATGATACATTATAGTCATTCACAGGGCTTTAAGTCAAGCCATAGGCTTTCTGGGAACCATTTAGTTTAAAATGTTCAAATGATGGACCTAGCATAAAGGTTGGGTCTAGTTTGGATTCACGGCTGTGATAAAGATTTTCCCAAGCTAGATACTTAGGTAATTCATTCAAGGTGCTGTAACTGAACCCCCCCCCCTCCCCAAGATTTCACTGGTGTTTCCTTGGATAAGGTTTTAATAACGAGAGTTTGGATGGTACTTTTAGCAAACTTTTGCTATTACCAAGCTGAGGGCACTGTCCCTTGCATTCTCTTTTGGTCAGATATTTTCACCTTGAGGGCAATACACAGAAGGCTAAATGTTATTTTCTTTTGGCTGGCACAATCCATTTTCTGTTCTTGGAGATAGATGTGGGACCGCCACAATCTCAAACAAACGTATGAAGTGGCCAGCCAAGAATACTGCAATTTAATGAGAAAAGTAGGAGTCCCTTTCATAGTTTCATGGTATTTTATCTGAAGGATTCCAATGCTTTTTTTATTTATACCTTATCTAATTTGATATTAGCTGTGTTGCCGATAGGGCTTGGTTCTGGATAGCCATCTGTATTTGCACCCTGCTTTCTGAAGGAGCTTTTCTTGAAGACATTCTGCAGTGTAACCTTTGGTCAATTTTGTATGACCCTTGCCACCTCAATTAATAAATAGGACTTCTTAAGTGAAGGACTAATAACTCTTTTTCTTGGTCCATTTTCCATATCTTAACAACCTACTATGCAGCAGCTGGCTGATGAAAGAAAGGGAAGGTCCAGCTTAAGCAGACCTGTAATAATTAGACCATGAGTCCTTGCTCTGTGTGTGTGTGTGTGTGTGTGTGTGTGTGTGTGTGTGTGTGTGTATAGAAGTATGTATTTGGAATACATGCATAGGTCTAAATACGTATTTTTGTGTGTGCATATATACATCCGTGGGCACATGGTTTATTGAGTAGTCCTCATGCTGGCATTAGGCTAGGCAAGTTCACCTTGAAGATTCAAACCCCATATTGTTGTTTCAAAATACCATGTGAATGTATCGGTATTTTAATTTTAAAACTTGTTAGGTGCTTGCCTTTATTAAATATTATCTGCATAGTATATTGATCAACTTTTCCTTAAGAAAGACTGCATGATCTGAATTGTTTGTAACGCAGTGAAAATGCTTCAAAGGCACAAGGTCCTGAGACTGAAGGGACTTGTTACAGAATGCTGTCTCATGACTTTAATTTTCAATTGTTATCTTCTTTCCTCTTAGACTTATTACCTAGTCATACTCTCTCTTTTATATTGCGTCTGCTGTTATGCCTATATCCGAGCACTTTATTCAGGTCACACTTTTTTGCAATGTTCGTGAGGGAGATATTTACAGTTTTTACAGGCATGCAAAGACTGCACTGATGGGATACTTAAGAGTGAGTGAGTTTCGTCATTGCCAAAGGTACTATTTAGAGTTCTGTGTTCAGAGAGGTGAAGTAGCCCGTTCTGTGCCTTATTGTCTTCTGAAAGTAGTCATCTGGCTTATTTTTTCTTCAGTGTACCTGAAAGAAAAGGCCATGGGCTTAGCTGCTCTCCCCACATCTTCAGGGGCCCAGCGAAAATTGTTATAATACTCAGGAAAGATCTTCAGAGTAATCTGGAAAACAGATCTAGAATCCATCTGTTCGCAGTGCTCCCCTTTTATAGAAAGATGCAGGTAACTTTTGAATGCTTTCAGCAAGGGTGATCACCTCTAGGATTTTGGGTGTAGAAACTAAGAGCATGCGGGAGCAATGGGAAAATATTCTTGAATGATCTGTAAATCTCCTCTTTACTAGAGGAGATAGATCCCCCGTACCTCTCGTAAGAATCCTGTTAAAAGTTGACTGGGTCAACAGTTTCGCAGTTCTACTTTTTTTTCAATTTCATTTTACTTAAATATGGTACTATATCGCCAGAATGCAAATTGATCTTGATATTTTTAATGATTTACAATTTCTGTCTAAAGAGAAAAATTCTAAAATCCTGTCTATGAACACTATATAAATTACTATAAAGCTGTGGAAAAGCTGCTCCCTGTAATAAATTTTTAATGCCTTAGAAAGAAGAAAACACAAGGGAACACTTATTGCCTACCCGACTACACACTGAAAAGATTTGATAGAATGTTCTCTTGTTTTGGATGCTTTGGAGCTAAAATATCTCGGAGGTTTCCCACAGAAGATCTCCCTTCCCGCTCCCTCCTCCCGCCCCCGCTTCATATTGCAGGAAATCTAATGTAATTGTGACAAATAAGGTTACACATTTTCCTTAGCACTGAAAAATCTTCCCCCATCCTGCCAAAGTGTCTTCAGAACGTTATAATACCGGTATAAAGTGATGCATGCTGCAGTGTTTTATCCAGAGAAGACCTGGCAAGCTAGTCTGGTTAAGAACAGGTTTGCATTTGCACTGCTTATAATTTAATAGCTAAAATACGAGGATTTGAAATTCTCATGTTGAAAAAATACTGGGTTTTTTTGGTCTCACAGCTCACTACATGTGTAAACCAGGCATTTCTGTGACCAAAACTACACAAACTTGCACAAAAAAGGCTCTTACAGAGCTAGAAATTAGACCTATGATCATAATTCCTAGACTGTTTCTCTGCAGTCTGTCCCGTTGTGGATTTGAATCAGTGCCATGTTTCGTGAGCTGCTGCTTATAATATCTATGTGCAGTCTAGTTCAACAGGAGGAAAATAGTTACCTACTATATTCACTGACAGGTTTCACCCATTTATAGTCATGTTAATATTGCTCTTCTCCTAGTTTCTCCTTAATCTCAACAGTTTCTTATGGAGTATTTATGTGTCACTGCACTATCATTACAATATTGCCAATTTTTATCAAATGCCAAAAAAAAATATCCAAGGACTCATCTGCTTTGGGATGGTTGTGAACGTAGTTAGTAGAGGTAGAGCTAAAACAGTATTACTAGTGCCATAAGCATTGGTAGACAAAGGGCTTAGTTGTTCAGTGCTGGACACCACAAATGAGGAGCTCCTTCCATTCTATTTATCCAGAGTACTTGTGCTGGTATTGACTTGAACCGAGGACCCCTGTTGGGCGGTATCTTCGCCATATTACTTGTAGCTATTTTCGGTACATGGTTCAGTATATCTTCCATTTCTTCAGCTCTGTTTGACTCTCCCGCAGTGCCTGTGCTTGTAGGTAGAACATAAAACAAGTCTTCAAAGCAAAAGTTTGTTCTACAGTTTAATCTAAAACCAGTCCTTAGTATTTCTCCCCTGTTGGTGATACACTTCATCTCTCCTTACATGCGCAATACTGAAGCCCTAGCATAAGCAGGCAGCCATGTCCTCTGCTGTGTTAAGTACCATTCATGGAACCTTCTCTCAACAAAACTAATTAAATAAGTGCTTGGAGTAAAAGCAGCAGGTAGTGATTCATCTATCATAGAATTTGTGGTGATGATAACCCCGGTGAAGGTGAACTGCTTTGGCAACAGTAGGAAATCCCAATAGTGTCACAGATGTGTAGAGATAATGTTGCAGCTCGAGAATTAGTTCGGTGTTGTGCTGCATCCTATAATTGAGCAAGATACTCAACTTAACTGCAGATTATTAGAACTACTTCATCTGGGGCTACATCAAGGCATATTGGTCATATGCTGTGAGCAAGATTCTGTGTGTTCACTTTCCATTGATAAATAGTGGGCTTCAGTCTCCATCACTGTTTAATCTGATGTCTTTTCTCAGTACTAAACTTGCTTACAAATAATGTTTCGCCCCCCCCAGATAGTCATTTTGACTAGGAAGTATACTATCCTGTGTGTCTCAGAAAGCTTCATTTTCATAGCTTATATGCAGTTTGAAGCACTTTGGCTCAGTGGAAAAAAAATGTATTTTAAACTGGGAAAGCGTTGTTCTTTACAAAAGGACAGTCTCCCTAGGCACTGTGGGGTTATTGCTGTACACTGTCTAAAGTCTGAATAGTGGAGGCAGGATGACCAGGTGGACAGAGCACAGCAGGGTTCTGCATCTGTCACTGGCTCCGTGAATGACCACAGGCAGCTCAGTCCTATTTTCTGTGCCCGTTTCTTACTCTTTAAACCAGAGGCAATAATATCTATGTAATGTATCTGGAGATCTACGGATGACAGTTACTGGGCAAGAGAGAGGTAATTTTTATCGTCCTCAGGTGGCATAAATTGACTAAAGTTCATTCATCGTTAATTCCAGTGCAGCTGTAGAACTTCAGTGAAGGAGCTGGATCCCAGTCTTCGCTGTAGTTCTATGCAAGTGGTTATAAAATTGCCGTTATAGCAGAGATTCTTGAGCTGAAACTAGGGTTTGGATTGTGAGATTGAAGGATGTGATGCTGCTTGTCTTATTACAATTAAAAGCCTAAGAATAAATTTGACGAGGAGGAGATTGTTTTGGGGGAGATACTGTTTTAATTCGGTATTGTTTTCTCAATCGTTATTCCCTTAGGATTGTCAGGAGATTTCTTGCGTTCTGGACGATACTCTGCTCATACTATTAACGGTGCCTGGTCACCGTGGTCTCCGTGGTCTCAGTGCAGCCGTGACTGCAGTCGAGGTATACGGAATCGCAAACGGGTCTGCAGCAATCCTGAGCCCAAGTATGGGGGACTTCCTTGCCTCGGCCCATCTCTGGAGTACCAAGAATGCAACATTTTGCCTTGTCCAGGTAAGAGTCAGCTGAAGTGGGAGAAGGATATGAAAATAATACAAATCGTTTTCAAGGCTGGATCTTGCAATAGTTCTGTTTGCTTGGTTGCTTGATTCGGATTCTGTTTGTTTGGTTTTTTAAATAAACTGCAGCTCAAGTAACTGATTTTGCTGGCCCCTTTCAGTTCCAAGGAAACAAGTTAGCCCAATTCAGCTGAGCTCACCAAAACTCTACACAGACATTTCAATGATCGTGTGCTGTATTAGCCAACACAGTCATCGTAATTGCCTATAGCAGTGAAACCAATTATATTTTATGTTGCAGAAATATCTTTAAGGTTAGTTTTCATCATCTTTAAGGTTAGTATTCATCTCAGACATGAATGATTAAGTATCATATGGAAATGTCTTTTTTGTTACTTTTTCAAGAAATCACGTAGTTTGGCCTCTAGCAAGAGGGCTTTTTCTTAAATAACGTGTTCATATCCCCTGGAATCCTGACAGCCAGTTCCATTTATAACATAATTGGATTTGGGCAAGATGCCAACTTGATGTCACTCAGTTTATCAACAACAATATAAACATAGTTATCTCTTCTTTCACTCGTGAAATGTTGATTGTAAAAATATAACTTTAAAAAAATAAGCCCATAGGAGAGAAAAGAAAAATTATGAGAAAACTGACTGAGCTGCTATTTACACTCAAAATATCATTTTCATCACAGTGGTTTCTGAGGCTGCTGAGTTAAATTGATGCTAGCTTTTGAGTGTAAAGCGTCCAGCAAATGAGGTTCAGACAGAACACCAAAATAGCTGGTATCTCAGGTAGGCTGCAAAGTAAAGATTGTTCTCGGAATCGTGAGCTTCTCCTTCACTGACAGTTGTTTTATGATTCTACAAAAAAGACTGCAAGTAAAAGACATGTTTTCAAGAAACTGCTTGGGGTTATAAATCATTGCTGTATCTTAGTCATTTGGGGAAAAAAACATCATGGTTCTAGTCACCTCTCACCCTTCCTAAAACAGATATGCAAGTTCAAAGGCTTTTGAACTTTGCAGAATGCTTTGTAGCAAAAGAAAGGGGAAGGATATAAGAGAACACATGAGGAAAAGAAAGTGCAGCTGGAATATGAGGGGAGAGGTCAAGGCATAGAAAGTCATTGGAAACAGTAGAGAAGGAGAAAAATAACGACGGAAAGACTCAGTTCTTTCCAGTATCAGGAAATAATGAAAAAATAGGCTTTCATACATCTTTAATCACATTAATTGTTTGCATATTAACAGTGCTGCATATTTTATTATTGAAGACTTCGACTTTTGGCATTTCAGTATGAACCTGAAGGGTTCATGTAATAAATACACACACACACACACACACACACACACACACACACACACACACACACGCGCATATCTATATGGTGAGTATAGTAAATATGCAAACACACATATACATATCTATATGAGTGTGAGTTTAAACTGATTTTTTTTAGAAGTATTTTGCCCTATTTTATCACTGCAGTGCATTCCCTAAGCTTTGTGAGCCCTTTGACAGCTGCTTTCCTTTCTCTGCATCAGAAACCAAAATGTAAATCTGTCCAGAAGGCAGCGTTTCCCTTTCAGGAGGATTTAGTTCCTTCAAAAGCACACTTTTGGCTTGAACTGAACCTAAATAATGTGTCTTGGTCAGTAGAGTGACTATTGACTGTGTTCTCTACACCAAGCAGTATGAGAGACAGGTGAAAGGGAGGAAGTGAAGAAGCAATGGACAGAGAATCACAAATTTGTGGCCCAAATCTTCTGTATATTTGCAGAGCCCTAGTGCATGTGTAACTCATTATTTCCCAAAGTGTGATCATAACACCTTAGTGTGATCGTCACACCTGCTTTTCTTGAACATAAGATTATAAACTCTTTTGCTTCATGTGGCTGCACTGTAATCCATAAAAATTTTTGAAGGGTGACAGCAATGTGTCATGTCAAAGAGACCATTGTACTAACATATGCGACTCTCCGCAAGGTTGGGCTCACAAGGAAGAGTTAGCTAGAGTATAGCGTGTCCTTATCAGGTCCTTCTTCCCTTGCTAAGAGAATCCCTCCATGTGATAATGGGTTCAGCTTCCTTTGAAGCAGCTACAGTAGTTGTTGACAGGGCGGCTCTGCTTGCAAGCTTTACAATGCCTAATTTTATTATCGTACTGTATTAACTAAACTATATCTCTAAAAAGCGTCCAGATTTGTTTTTCCTCCCTTGCTATTGATTTTTAAATCAAATACTGTGTTGGATTTTTTTTTGTTAGTTGTAAAATAAGTTACAGGGTTTCCAGAAGTATTTTTACGAGGTATCTCTGTAACTAGTACACTGCTTTGTTCTCTGAAGGAAATTGTTGAAACAGTGGAGGACACAGTATGCACAAGTTTAATGTGGAGACCCATGTTGCCTGAGTGAGCCAACACCCTAAACTAAAACCCACAAAACTGTAAGGTAGACCTTGAAGTTGTGCTCTGTATTGAATTGATTCCCTTTTCAGCTGTCTCTGGCTTTGTAAATATTTTTCAAGAAAGCTTGGAACAAAGTGTGGTGGGTGTTTTTGAATCAAAACCGAGTATATTTAATACCTTTCTTGAGAGACAAGTTTCTTTTTTCTTTTTGGTGCAAATTTGATTTGAATAAAGCTATACAGCTTGGATGAAGTATTTAGATGATGCTAGCCTGCAAAAAATCGCAAATATCCTCAGCCACAGAACTACTGTTTGCCAGGAATTAAAGTGAATATAAGGGCCCAAGTCAGATCTCAGATAAATCTGAAGGGAAAACATTGAAAGTGGCAGATGTGATTGATTTTTTTCGTTTTTAAGACATAGGAGAGTAAAAAATGATTGCAGGATAAGGCTTATCCAGAAATTCAACATAAATGTGTATAAAGGGAGTAAGTTTTTGTTGGAGAGGCATAGTAATGACAGTGAAATCTTTCCTTTTCTAATGAAAGTCACAGAAAGCTGAATGGGTGGATTAGAAATTGAGATCTATTAGGTTGAAATCCATGCATTGCAGACAGTCTGAGACAGATTCCCACATCTATAGTTCAGCATAAGACCTCACTAAGAAGTGAAGACATGGGGGAAGAGCCTTTGGTACAGGCTTACATGGACAAACCTGGCAGACCCCACAGCAGGGGCATAGAGGAGAGCAGCCAGTAAAAGAAACTGTGCCTGGACCACTTTGCAACCTTCTTGTGAACCACTCTGCTAGGTGACTAGGGTCTCGTTTCCCAGGAGCTTTTATTCAGGAACGCTATAGAAAGTCATTCTTATTCTAGCTTTCCAAGTGAGTTTCTAAAATGTCCCTTTTAGGCTTTAATCATACAGACCTTGCACATTGTACAGTGAGGCCACGTTCGGTAAAATCCAGTGTCAAACATGTTTTCTCTGGACTGATACATCCTCACTCTGTGCTTTGATAAATGTGACTGATAAAACCAAGCAAGGACAGGGTGAAAAGTAGACATTTATGAGAGAGCTTGGTCTAGGTGTGGACCTCACCAGGCTATTGACTATACCTTCCTCACGTAGGGCAGACTGTAGCGACTAAGTAGGAGTAAATATTTCAGGCCCTTCTTGCCATGGCTGGCATAGATATAAAAACAGGGACTGTTCACAATTAATTCTTGCTCAAGCGAGTAAACAAGGTCTAGACAGAATAAGGGTAAGAAATGTGAGGAACTTGTGATCTGACCCCAGCCCTAAAGTACTGACTGTAGTACTGAAAATAAAAATGGGTTAAAAAAGAATTTTATGCTTTTTAAGACATATCTGAGCTTCCTTGGGATAAGCACAGCTTCACATGCTCCCTGCTTGTACAGAAGTACTTTGTTATAGCCCAGCCTTTAGCCTGTAGGAGTTATTCGGGTTGGTAGGAAGGAGTGCGATGGCAGCCGTAAAGAAGCATTCCTGTTAATGCAGGCTCAGGTTCTGCTCCTCTCCCGGTTCTGCTTACTGCACGTATGTGCGGTGCTGCATCCGTTATCAGACGAGATCAAACACTTATGATTTGACTTGGTGCACTAGATGAGTGATGGAGAAATACGTTCAACAGTTCTTAAGTCCTGCTGA